CAGGCAGTTGCGAACCCAGACGGCCTGCCGCAGAGCAAGATGCCACAAGTGGTGCTGTACGCCCATGTGCAGCAGCATCGTCCGCACCGACTCCACCACCGTCCTCATCTCCCGCTCCGCCATGCCATTCTGTTGCGGGGTGTAAGGGCAGGTCAAGTCGTGAACGATTCCCTTGCTGTCCATGAAGGCGGTGAAGTCCTTTCCGAGGAACTCCCCTCCGCGGTCAGAACGCAGTTGCAGCACCGAATGCTTCGCCTGCCGCTCCACCAGCACCAGCCACTTCTGGAACTCCAGCAGCACGTCCGACTTCTTGGCGACCGGCCTCACCCACACATAGCGGGTCTTGCGGTCCTTCAGCAGCAAGAAGTACAGGCTGCCGTCCTTGGCAGCCACGCGAAATGGCCCGCACAAATCGATGTGCACGACGGCCAGGACGTCGTTGGCTTCGGAGCCGTGGTCGGGGAAGGTGTGCCGCGCCAGCTTCCCGCCGACGCACGAAACACACGATGAGTCGGCGCCAGATGCCGACTGGAGGTCCAGCCCGGTGGCGACCCCGTGCTTCGCCGAGCTCCGTATGGTGTCCATGCCAACATGCGCAAGCCTCGCGTGCAGCCTGTTCGGGGTTGCCTTCGTCGCTGAGACTATCGCCCGCAGAGCCACCTCCTCTTTCGCGGGCGTCGCCGATTTGACCGCGCATGGGCGCAGGTCAGTGCAGAGGACCCGGCCAGTGTACGTCGCGCGACCGAGCACGTCCCCCGCCGCGGAGACGAGCAACATCCGGTGGCCGTCGTCCTTCAGCGTCACCCCGCTCTCCTTCAGCTGGCCAGCCGAAAGTAGATTCGCCTGCACGCCCGGGACGTAGAGGACGTCGGAGATGAGCACCCGCTTCCCGGCCTCCCCTTGCAGCGCAACCGTGCCACGGTCGCGAACGTCCTGCAGCGCCCCATTGAAGCCACGCACGTGTTTCACGTCGCCACTCGGCCCCAAATCGACGAAGGCCTCCTTCGTCCCCATCAGGTGGTGCGAGCAGCCGCTGTCGAGCAGGACCACCGCGGGGTTCGCCTGCACATCTGCCGCCACCGCCTGGAAATCCTCGCCAGCTTCCGGCGCCAGCGAGACGGTCGGCTCCACGATACCGACCAGCGAGCACGACGCCTCCTTGTCGCCTCGCCCTTTGCCACCCGCGGAAGAGTCGGCGTCCTTCGCCGAGGTCGACTTCGTCGACTGCTTCTCCTTTCGCGGCTGGTTTCCTCGACGCGGACGACGGCTGCCAGACCTCCCGCGGTCTCCCTTGGATTCGTCGTCGTCCGAGTCACTGCGGTCGGGACACTCGAAGGAGAGGTGATCGGGATCGCCGCACAGCCAGCATTCCCGACGTCGACCTCCTCCTCCACGACCACCATCCTTGGCCGACTTCTGCTTGTCAGCGTCCTTCGCCGGCTTCCAGCCACCGCGGTGACTGCCACCAGACTGCCCGCGCTGTCCCGGTCGACCCCCTTGCCTTGCCGGGGCGACGTAGTTCACTTGCGCGAGGAGCTCCTGGGACCGCTCAGCCTCCTGCATCGCCTCGTCCTGCAGGATGTACGAGGTCAAGGTGTCCTCGTTGAGCGTCGCCCGCGTGCTCGGCGCCATCGACAGCCGCTTCAGTAGGTTATAGCTGCTCGGGAGTCCCTGCATGACGTGTGTGACGTACGACGACGTTGAGTACTCCGCGCCAGCCATCCGAATGGTGGCGAGAATTCGCCGAGCTCGGTTGCAGTAGTCAGTCGCGGTCTCCTCGTCGCCCATACGCAGGTGCGTCAACTGCCCCTCAAGCTGGGAGATGAACAAGTCGTCGGTGACCTGGTAAGTTGACTCGATGAAATGCCACGCCCGGTGGCCGGCGTCGAGGTACTCCCTGCACGACTTCAGGGCGATCTGTACGCCCGGCGAGCAGCACTGCGAAATGACCGTAAAGGTCAGCAACTGCACGGCGCGAAATTCTGCTCGCAGGTCGGGGTGGTGCTCCTCTGGCGTCGCCACGGTCCCGCGGGCGAAGCCCATCAGCCCGGCCATCTCCAGCTGGGGCTCGATGGCTTCCTTCCACTTGAGGATGTCGGGACGACCGACCAGCAGAGGGGTGACCGAGATCCTGTCCGGCGTAAACTTGAAGTAGCCGTAGCTCGGCGCAATTCCTCCCGCGGTCACGTGTGTCGCCGACATCGGCGCCAATTCACTTCGTCTGCCTCCGACGTAGCCCCGCGAGGCCCCTGCAGCCGCGAACGACTGCATCCCTCGCGCCTGAACGCCGCCGACTTCATCGGCGTGAATCACACCTCGCTGCCTTGACGTGCCTCCCGCGCTGCTGCCGACTTGGCCACCACCCGCGTTGACGTCCGCGTCGACGCCGCCCGCGTTGTTCACCGGTCGAGGAGACGCCGGTCGGGAAGGGTGCTCCGTCGCCCACACGGCGCGGATGCCAGCCTCGACGACCGTCAGCGGGAGAGTTCCATACTCGTTTGCCGCATGACGTCTCCTCGCGTCCTCCAGCTGTGCCTCCAGGGTTTCCACGACGCCCGCCTCAACAACGGGGTCCACCATGGCGTCCAACACAGCCGCCGGCCTACGAACAAGCTAGGTGAATTCAAAGTCGACTAATTCGAAGGTGACTTCGCGGTGTCGTCCATGCTCACCGCACCATGTGGAGATAACTATTACAACGGGAGCTAGACTACGGGCTAGGCACGGATGCTCGTGTGATCTCTGCGTTCGTTCGTTCCTTAGTCGTTTCCAAGTGCTAACACTACTTGCTAGTTCACGGGGAAAATTGGCAAGAGTTTCACTAGGAAAACATCACAACAAAAGTTCAGAATGATTGCATCAACATTGGCAACACAGACTACATCAGACCTAGCAAGGCTGCTGGTCGACTGCCAGCGCAGCACGGTCGACCGCGTGCCAGCACGACTTGGTCGACCGCGCTCCAGCAGAGCAGAGTCGCGGCTTGCCAACGTTGCAAGTCCGCGGTGTGCCAATGCTGCAGTAAATCGGCTGCACAGCGTTGCACCCGCCTGACAATGGTGCACCAGCTTCGCAGGTGCGTGCAGCTGGTTGGCGCCCAACTCCCCGTCACATGCCCAGCGCAGACACTCCACCCGTGACGGCGCCTACCAGCCACGTCGACCTTGGGATACCACCCCCGAGGTCGTTCTCGCAGAAAACACCCCCGGCGACTTTCGCCCACGTCGCCCGGGTATCCTGGTCGACCGGGTATCCCGCGGCCCCCGTGGCCCCCGGTCGTCCATCCGCGGCCACCGCGGTCCCCGCGGTCCCGAGGTTGCCCCACGGCCTCCCGCAGCCCCGTGGTCTCCCGCGGCCTCCCGCGACCTTCCCGCGGCCCCGCGGTTCTCCCGCGGTCCCGCGGTCCCGCGGCCCCGCGGTTCTCCCGCGGTCCCGCGGTCCCGCGGCCCTTCCGCGGTCCCACGGTTCTCCCGCGGTTCTTCCGCGGCCCCGCGGTTCTCCCGCGGTCCCGCGGTCCCGCGGCCCTCCCGCGGTCCCGCGGTTCCCGTGGTTCTCCCGCGGTCCCGCGTCTCCCGCGGTTCTCCCACGGTCCCGCGGTTCTCCCGCGGTTCCGCGGTTCTCCCGCGGTTTCGCGGCCCCCGCGGTCCTCCCGCGGTTTCGCGGCCCCCGCGGTCGGCTCCGCCCAAGCGAGGACGGGGCCAAACACTACTCCCGTTGACACACTTTACCAGTGTATTTCATCCTCCCTCTTGCACCCTTGCCTCTCTTCCATCCTCACTCCTCCCCAGTGCTCTCATGAATCTCAACCTGACTGCTGGAGTTTTTCCTTCTTCTGTTGCTGCACTTCCTTCACTCATGCACCTGTAAGTTTGTCGGATGTCTTCCTTCCTCCTCCTTGAGCGAGTGCTTGGTATAGTTTTATGTCATGTTTTATGCATTGTGCTGGCAATCACCAAAGTACAACCATGATACTGGTGTGGTATCATCTCTCACGTGCTTCTGGTTAGCCTTGGGCATGTGCTTGCTCGTTGCACGCGTTGCATCTCTTCAAGGTAGGCTTATGAAAAAAGCCAACGAATTTCTTTCCCGCTTACGAAAGTTGAAATAGGAGCGAGCGAGCACATTTCTGTTTCAAGGTTTAGAGCTCACCATCTCTTCTCTCCCTCCTTTCCTGTACCACAGTGACCTAAGTTTCCTTCCCATCACCCGCTTACCGCAATGGATCGCTTCACTCTCTAAGCTCACTCATTTGTGAGTGGCACCATGAGCCCCTCGCCCCACCCCGCCCTGACTATTATCAGTGCTTCCTGTTGCACCTTGCCTGTACTTGGGATACAAGTGGTCAGCTCACGTCCGCTCAGTGGGTACCACTCCTCTCACTCCCTGCACCACCTGCAATTTGCCATAGTCTTGCCCCTTGCGCTCTCTCCCTCCGCTTCCATAGCTTGCTGCCAGAGCGATGCCAATGAAACCGGCTCAAGCTCGCACCCCGATTGATCTGTGTCGCTTTGAATCGAGGGTGTTCGTCGGCTTTCCCTGTGCTGTCCTGTGCCATGCTGCTCTGCGTGGTAATGCCCTACACTGGGCCACATGTCGCTCAAGGCAGAGTCGATCAGGGCAATTAACCATGGCTAGAGGGATGGCACGATGGCTAGAAAGAGAGATTCCGATGTACGCTGATGCCACTTGCAATGCTCCCCCCCCCATGCCTCTCCACCGATTGGAGTGCCCCGCGCCTCCCCTAATCCCCTGCCCTTGTCTGCCCTGCAGGGATGTCACCTGAAACTTAGCCGTTCGCCGCTCTGCACTGTTCCCCACCGAGTGGATGGCGCTCACAAGGCTGGAGACGCTGTGAGCCATCGGTCATGTCAAGAGCACAACATCTTGGTTTGACACCTTGTGCTGCTCACCTAGCCATCCAAAGCCGTCCGTTCCTTATATTTCCCACCAAGACGCACAAGGCCCATCTCTCCTCTGCCCGTCCATCTGCACATCGCTCGATGGCCCACTCAGCCCAACCCTGTTGCCTTCCAGCAACCAATGCATGCGCCCCTCCTCTCCTCTCGCTCCTCTCCTCTCGCCCCTCCCCTTGCACCTCCAGGCGGGCCGGTCTGAATGGCTTCACTGGCTCTATCCCCTCCACCATCTCCGCCCTCACCGCCCTCACCACCTTGTATGCCTCCCCTTCCCATCCTCTTCCTTACTCTCTCCCGTTCCCATCCTCTCTCCTCTTCCTTCCTCTCTCCCATTCCCATCCTCTTTCCCCTTTTTGTCCTCTTCCCCTTCCCATCCTCGCTCCCCTTCCCATCCTCTCTCCCCTTTTTGTCCTCGCTCCGCTTCCCATCCTCTCTCCCCTTCCCATCCTCTCTCCCCTTCCCATCCTCTCTCCCCTTCCTATCCTCTCTCCCCTTCCCATCCTCTCTCCCCTTCCCATCCTCTCTCCCCTTACTTCTTCTCTCCCCTTCCTTCCTCTCCTTCCCCGTCCTTTCTTGGAAACCTCATTAGAAATGCAGTGGTTGTACAGAAGAGGAAGAGTTCACTTACTATACGCCAAAGTGCCAGGTTGTGAGTGCAAGTTTGTGAGCGCAAGTTTGTGAGCACCAGGTTGTGAGCACCACGGTGTTACAATCCAGCTGGATAATGGACTCCGAATAAAGCTATTGCACAAGCAGTTCATCCAATGAATGTGGTTCATCTATTTAATGCAGTTCACCCAGTTGAAGCGATTCGTCTGGTGAAAGCGCTTCTTTCTGTGAAAACGGTTCTTCCTGAAAAAGCAGTTTATCCTGTGAAAGTTGTTGTTCCTGTGGTCATCCCCCCTCCTTCCTCTCCTCCTCGCAATGGCCCCACCAAGGAGCTCTACGGGAACAACATCTCAGGAAGCATTCCTGCTGGCATAAGCAAGCTGCCAAAATTAAATAACCTGTAAGCCCCTCACATCTTCCCCTTTGACTTTCCACCATGGCTTCCAGCATAAATCACTGTGGCAACAGAATGTTCTGGGGTTGATTCAAGGCGTACCAGATCCAGGTGAACCAAGGCATGGTGTGGTCTTCTCATGGGAATGTTCTATCATGTCCTCTGTATATCACTCTGGCTGTATGTCCTATTGTCAGTATGTCCTATTTTACCAGTGCTCTTTCAAGTATGACTTTCACAAGTAGGCTTTCCATCTGTAAAGGGTGGGCCATCTGTTGTGAGATATTGCAAGTCTTTCTCAAGTCGTCATGTAGAAAAGCTACGGTGATGAGAAGGCATCACAACATCAAAAGCTGTCATGCATAAAATGCCTCTCCCTTGTTGTAGGAAATAATTCCATTGTATAAAGTCGCTGCATTGCACTGCCACTTGCTATCCATAATACAAGTGCGTGTCTTGGCCTCCACACACACGTCCCCGCCTCCACACACACGTGCCTGCCTCCACTCAACACAACACAGGTTGCTCGGCTCTAACAATATCACCGGCGCCGCTCCTGTCACTCACGCCTACTTGTGAGACTTCAAGGCTCGCCTCGCCTGGCATGAGCTCACGCGTGGCGTGGATTGCAACGCACCTCCATCTGGCACCTTGCATGCTGAGTCGCAACTCAACCAAACAAAATGAGGTGTTGGAGGCTCTTGAGCAGTCTCTCTTGCGCAGTCTCTCTCTCACCATGCTTTCTCATCTCCGTGTGGCAACTTCATGCAAGCGCCCCTTGATATTTGCCTATTGTTACTTTAGCAATGTACAAACGCTGCATATCCAGTATGTTGCGTTGCGTTCCCAGTAGCCTAAGGTTGGCATTACCATACTATCGTGCTTCCATGATTTCTCAAGCTTCTGATACCTCAGAGGCTTGGTCATGGCATTGCCGTATGCTTCACAGCCCTGACTCGTGTTTCCCAGCCCTGACTCGTGTTTCTCAGCCCTGACTCGTGTTTCTCAGCCCTGGCTCGTGTTTCTCCAGTACCAAGAGCTGAACCACACCGCACACCCCCTGGGGTGTGGCAAGGAAGCATTCACGCCCCTACCTCACTGTGCATGCCTCCACATATCCCCCACATCCCCTTCCCTCCACATCCCCTCCCCTCCACATCCCCTCTCAACCACATCCCCTCACCTTCATATCCCCTCACCTTCATATTCCCTCCCCTCCACATCCCCTCGCCTCCACATCCTCTCTCCACCACATCCCCCCACCTCCACATCCCCCCCCCACCACTCGCCTAGCCTACACATCCCCTCGCCTCCACATCCCCTTGCATCTGCCTGCCCTCATTGCGTGCAGAGACCTCTCCTGGAATCAACTCACCTCCATGCCTTATGCCATCAATGCTGACGTGTAAGTCCTGGGTGATTGGCATCATAATGTCCTTGTTTTTTATTCGAATTCTCGGCGGCTCGCGATAGAGAGGGAAAAGTTTAGCCTGAGCCACCTCCTCCCTCGGTCGTGCCTCCCAGCCTTGTGTAATGACTACACAAGGGCCCTAGGTGCCCTGTTTGTCTCATTGTTCTCGTTTTTGCGGCTTGCCTTGTGCCCGGGCTTCTAGTGGCAAGTCATTTCAGCTGCAGGCGGACGACTGACGCGATTGCGCCAGTGATCCACCTCTCTTACAGCAGGCCGCCTGTGATCCATATTACATATTTTTTACCATACTTGGATGCTGGCTTTCGCCATCAGCCACTGCTACAAGGTGAACACTTGGATAATTTGTGGCAGTTGTGATTGGATCGACCAACCGCAGCTGCCTATGTTTGGAGGAACCAAACCACCACTGAAGGTTTCCTCAACAACACGCATATACAACGAATAAAGTGTTGAAGCGCAATCAATTGGAAGGCCACACGTTATCCCGGCCGTATCATGCTGTGCCGTTCCTTGCCATGCTGTGCCGTGCCATGCTGTGCCGTACCATGCCACATTACCCGTTCTAGCATGGAAGAGGTCCCAGCATGGAAGCGAGATGGCAAGCATGCACCTGGCCATGGGATGGTGCAGGTAACAACAAAATGGAGGTGGAAGTTCATGGTGGCATGCAGTACACGTGTGCCTTCCAACATGCCATGGCCCATGGGTCACTAAATGCTCACTCTTCACTGCAGCGCTTCCCTTTTGGGACATTCAATGCATGCATGTTACCATCATCTCACTCCCTTCCACCATCGCCCATTCAACCTCTCCAGTTCCATGGCTCACAACCAGCTTCAAGGTCCCCTTCCTTCTGCCGTTCCCATCGATCTCGGTATTCTGTAAGCGCGCCTTGAAGTTGCTTGGTCTTGGTATGGAAGGAAGGAGGGAGGCAAGTGCGTGTGCTCGAGTTGTCTCTTGATTGATTTCCCTCAGGACGACAGCAATAATGATTATGTATGTGCAATCGTAAACATTCCCTTTCATACACAATGCTGGTCATTCCCCCATCCCCATCCCATGCAACCCATGCCTCCACACAGTGAGCTGCAAGGCAACGCATTCTCTGGATCGCCAACCAACTTTGATTCGCTACCCTATCTTATCATATTGTGAGCTCACTGCCTTGTTCTTATCCCTCTCAAACGATGTCCATCTATGTCAGCCCTTTATTTGCCCTTTAGATTTCCTTCTTGTTTACTCCCCCATTTTCACAAAGACAGATCTGATCTAGCAGCCACGAACCACATTTGAACTAGCAGCTACATACCTAGCATCGCATAGCTCTGAGTGTCTCGAAGTCACTAGAATCTTTAGCAGAGTTACACTTTTCCTTGTATCCTCATTCCCCTCGCCTGCGCCCATCCACCATGTCCCCTCTTTACCCTTCCCACAACCGCCCACCACCACCATGCCCCACTAAATTCCCAGCGACGTCAGCGACAACCAGCTCAGTGGCTCGCTTCCTGACTCCATCTCCAGCCTTGTATTGTTGTCCCGACTGTGAGCCTTGCTCCATCTCTCTTTGAGAATAAGGAAGCAGTGTTGTTGTGAGTTAGGGTAGTTTGAGGAGGCATAAACGCTACCTTGAGAAACAGGTTGTGCACACCTTGTCTGGACCCAGCAACTCTGACAACACTTTTTGCTGCATTCCACCATGTGAAATCGCACCAAGGATCACCGCGGACATCATTGCAAACAGCTGATGTACTCTGCTCGCTGGCATGCACGTGTGGCATGGCATGGCATGGCATGGCACGGCAGGGGGCTTCGAGGCAACAATCTGAGTGGCGTCATACCTGCTAGCCTGGGCGGACTTGGGGATCTAACATACCTGTGAGTTGCACAACCATTCCCCATCCAACACAAGCCTAAAGTTGACTACTCTCCCCGCGCTGCTCTTACAGCTTCCAAATTTCTTGCCAGGGTCTTACTTTAACTTGCATCGGGAATCCTCCTATTTTTCCCCCCTGGATTCGAACTCAATGGCAGCATAGTGGTGTTGAGTTGGCTGGCCTCTTTTCTCCTTCCACTCCTCTGTGCCACATGCTTCACAAGCCCATCCTGCCTCTCACGTTAGAGTTCTAGATTCATTTTTGTACGTAAGACAGTAACCGATCAACTCCATATTACATGGTATTTGGTATTGGACCGAATGCACGTATTTGCTTGTCGCACACTAGTTTTAAGTTAAATATCTGGCCATGAGTGTGAATTGTTTCCTCAATTCTCCAATCAGCTTTTCTCCAACTCTCACCCCCTGGAACGTGTCGGGCAACAAAGCAAGTGCCTGGTGAATCAGAGCAACACCACCGGCTTCTGCCACCTCTGCTTCTCCTTCTGCTCCTCCTGCACCCCCCTTGCTTGTAAGTCTCCATGCTGCCATGGCTGCCCACACACACACGCACGCATAAGAACGATGCCACACCGGCTCCAATCAAACTTTCCAACAACGGCTGGGTGGTGGAATAGGTGTGCTTTTCGTAATCTGATTAAACATTCCAATCTATGTCTGTGCCCACATCCCAGTGTCGCAGGCACGATCGGCATTTGGCCCTCGCACGCTCATTGCTTCTGCCATTAACCACTCTACTGCTGCTGCTCTTGCCGTCGTCTTGCTCCTGGTGTTCGGGATGTGAAGCGTAGAGTTTTCACATAGTGGCTTCGTATCGATTGTTGTGGGTGGGTGGACCTGGGGTAATGAGAGCCCAAGTCTGGAATAGCATACTTGAGGTTATCTTCAAATATACCGTATGTGTTGAGAGATTGCGATAATCCATTCTAAATATGCTAGTGAAAGTCTGGATTTTGTGGCTACCTTTAAAGCCCAAGTATAGCATGGTAATTTTCAAGTTCAAGATTCTTGAACTTGAAATCGCCAAAAACAGAGTTACCCTACTTGCTTTGAAGAAACTCTCGCGAGCCCAGGCAATCGTCCTGCTTCCCCCCATCCCCTGCCCTGCTTCCCCCCATCCCCTTCCCTGCTTCCCCCCATCCCCTTCCCTGCTTCAACCCATCCCCTCCCCTGCTTCCCCCCATCCCCTTCCCTGCTTCCCCCCATCTCCTTCCCTGCTTACCCCCATCCCCTTCCCTGCTTCCCCCCATCCCCTGCCCTGCTTTCCCCCATCCCGTCCCCTGCTTCCCCCCATCCCCTTCCCTGCTTCCCCCCATCCCATTCCCTGCTTCCCCCCATCCCCTTCCCTGCTTCCACCCGTCCCCTTCCCTGCTACCCCCCATCCCCTTCCCTGCTTCCACCCGTCCCCTTCCCTGCTTCCCCTCATCCCCTTCCCTGCTTCCCCCCATCCCCTTCCCTGCTTCAACCCATCCCCTCCCCTGCTTCCCCCCATCCCCTTCCCTGCTTCCCCCCATCTCCTTCCCTGCTTACCCCCATCCCCTTCCCTGCTTCCCCCCATCCCCTGCCCTGCTTTCCCCCATCCCGTCCCCTGCTTCCCCCCATCCCCTTCCCTGCTTCCCCCCATCCCATTCCCTGCTTCCCCCCATCCCCTTCCCTGCTTCCCCCCATCCCCTTCCCTGCTTCCACCAATCCCCTTCCCTGCTTCCCCCCATCCCCTCCCCTGCTTCCATCCGTCCCCTTCCCTGCTTCCCCCCATCCCCTTCCCTGCTTCCATCCATCACCTTCCATGCTTCCCCATGTCCCCTTCCCTGCTTCCCCCCATCCTTTCCCTACTCCTATTCACTGGAATGAGCTCCGCATTTAGTATGTGTTGTCCCAAAACCATTTTTCCACTTACTTGCGGCTAGGCCTGCTGGAATGATGGGCAGGAGGGCATATTTATTGATGCATCTAGCTGCCCAACAGATGCCACATGCGTTGATGTGCATGAAACAACAGGAAGGAACGGATGTGTTGTGCAAAGGTTGCCCAAGGCCACAAAGAGGGCTGAATGCCTTACAATTGCTGTGCAAAGGTACCAGAACCAAGCATGAGTATGCCTAAGGCGGCAGAGTTGGATGAATGATATCAGACACAATGCAAAGGCAGCAGCACCAATACTAGCTGTGTCCCAAAATCTGAGGGATGAATGACTTATGAAGTGATAAGGCAGCAGCACCATGTGCTGCTGCTCATGAGGCACCAGATATGGATGGATATATACAACAGTAGTGCGTAGGCGGCAGAGCCGAGAATAGAGCATTGTTGTAAAACGAGGGAGGGGGCGATGACAACTGACCTGCCAAGGCAGCGGTGCGTTGAGCTGTTGTGCCTGAGAAAGCCGGGATGAATACAAAACCAGCGACAAACTCAGGGCAACGGCTGAAGCAACATGTCCTGCAGATTCCTGAAAACCAGAAAGGGATGTTAAAACACTGGATTGCAAAGGCAGCAGCACCATGTGCTACTGTGCATGCGGTATGAGCGAGGCATGGAAACCCGAAAACTACAGATATGAATGACAATTGTTATGCCAAGGCAGCAGCACCATCTGCTGCCGTGCATGCGGCATCAACGAGGCATGCAAGCCCGAAAACCCCAGACAGGGATGGTTCAACCGAAGTGCAATGGCAGCAGAGCCAAGTTTTGCCAGGCCTGATGCACCAGTGATTGGTGGACCACTAAACAAACATATGCAAAGGCAGCAGCAACTAGTGCAATGCAAAGGCAACACAGGCCTACGGGCAGATGTGCCAGTGGCACGAGCGAGGCATTAATCCCTGAACAGCATTAGTGCAAAGGCAGTAGGAACTCCTTATGATGTGCAAGCGAATGGGGAGGAATGAACGAGTCCAACTGCAGTGCATCGGAGGATAGCACACAGTGGTGGTGCACCAGTGGTGGTGGTGCTGCTGCGCAAACCGTGCCAGAATCTCGTCCTCTCCTATATGTTGATCTAGTAACGGCAGGCCACCCCGAATGCAGATTTCAAGGGGGCCTTGCTCATTATTCTTGCCACAAATGTCGTGGGCACGAAGTGCACCATTTTGGTCAAGAGATCAACAAACACTAGTATCGCCGTATGACCATCTCATGTCTTGGGGAGATCGGTGATAAAATCATCGATACACTCTCCCAAGGCTCATCGGGAATCCCGAGTAGTTGAAGCAAACCACCAGGCTTCTGCGTGCTTGGCTTGTTCTGCGCATACGTGTCACAGCTGCGGAGATGACTAATTCAACGGGAGCTAGACTACGGGCTAGGCACGGGGCTTGAGTGACCTCTGCGTTCGTTCCTTAGTCGTTTCCTTGTGCCCACACTACTTGCTAGTTCACGGGAGAATTTTGGCAAGAGTTTCACTAAGGAAAGTTGACAACAATGGTTACAAAGAGATTGGCAAGAATGACTACATCAGAGCTAGCATGCAAGTCGGTCGACTGCCAGCGCTGCACGGTCGACCGCGTTCCAGCACGGCTTGGTCGACCGCGTTCCAGCAGTGCACAGTCGCGGCCCGCCAACGCTGCAAGTAGACGGCGTGTCAACGTTGCAAGTCGACGGCGTGCCAACGTTGCTCCCGCAGGACAGCAGCGCACCTGCTTTGCAGGTGCTCGCATATGATTGGCGTGCAGTGCCTTGTCACCTGCAGTGCACACACGCGATCGACCTCATGCTGACGACTGCACCTGACCAGCCACGTCGACCTCGGGATACCACCACCGAGGTCGGTCTCGTTTAAAACCACCTGGGCGACCGTCGCGTGCCTCCGCAGAAACCCGTCACCCTGGTAACCTGGTCGACCGAGCAACCCCCACGTCGACCAGCTCCTCTTTGTGCCCGTCGACCACCCAGGTCGACCACCACCACCGGTCGACCAGCTCCAGGTGGACCGGGCACTTGGTCGACCAGCCCCAGGTCGACCAGCACAGCCGTCAGCCGACCACCCAAGTCGGCTTCCCCAAGTCGGCGTCACCAGGTCGACACCCCCAAGGTCGACCTCGCCAGGTCGACCACTCGAACTCAGCGCCCTCCAGCTCCCCTGTCCAGGTCGACGTCGGTGCCCCCTTCGTCGACCACCCGGTCAGGTCGGCCGCCGGCTCCCCGTCGTCGGCGGCGTGAGCAGTGGCAGTGTGCAGGTCGGCCAACCCATCGACCTGCACGCCGAACTCGGCGTCGTCCACTGCAGCTGCTCGGCTGCACTTCCCGTGCACCCGACTACGTAGTCGGCTCCGCCCAAGTGAGGACGGGGCTAACAACAACTCCCGTTGACACTCCCCTGCCGTGTTCACGCTTCGGCCCCCAGCGCACACGGCAGAAACACTCGGAGAATAGCTCGTCGGTGTGCACACAACACACAGCACGTCGGTCACCGCACCAGCCATGCAGAAGAGGGCATGGCACCTACTGCTGCACGTCGTTGTCGCCGTCGCCCACGTCGGCCAAGCGCACTTGGCCGATTGCGACGGAGCACCGGTTGAAGGCCGGATAGTGCAGTGCCTTCGTCAGGAAGTCAGTCGGCTGCTCAGTGGTCGGGATGTACTTCAGCGTGAACTTCCCACGCTTCACCATGTGCTGCAGCCAGGCTTGTCGCCGCTCCATGTGCTTGAGGCTGCCCGTCAACCCCATGCCCTCGGCGACCGTGATGGCCGACTTGTTGTCCACCCGAAGGACGGTCGGCGTCCCGGCGTCCAGCTGTCGGAACTCTGCAAGAAGGAAGCGAAGGCGGCATCCCTCCTTGCCGGCTTCTGTGGCCGCCAGATAATCCGACTCGGTCGACGACAGGGTTGCGCACTTGATGTGCTGGCTCGACCAGGAGATCGTGGCCCCTCCGTAGACGTACACGTAGCCGCCCGTGATCCTCCGATTCTGCTTGTCGCCGGCGTCGTCGGCGTCCACGTAGCCGACCAGCTTCAGCGACTCAGGTCCATCGCCAAACTCCAGGGCAGTGTCGCGCGTGTTGGCGAGGTAGGCGAGGCAGCGGTCGACCTCGCGCCAATGCTGGTCGCTCCTCACCGTGAGGCCGCTCCCCATCTTGCTGCAGGCGAAGGCGATGTCCGGCCTCATCGTCGTCGCCGCGAACTGCAGCGAGCCGACCTTCTGCCGGTACTCCTCCTCCTAGCGCTCGTGTGCCTCCTCCTCGTCGAACGTCAGCTAGGCGTAGGCGTCGACGGAGACCGGCGTCTTCGGGGTTCGCCCGGTCTGCTCCTCGTCGAGGAACCGCCTACGCAGCTTATCGGCGTAGCCCTGCTGGTGCAGCCACATATATAGGAGATATAGTCAGATGCAAGAGTACAAGATAAAGCATCTCTACGCAACCAAGTGAGGGCCTGTAGACACAAGGCCAAGCTGGGTGCAAAAACGCTGGTGGTCACAAGGCGGCAACTCTTTGGTGAAGACATCTGCAGTGTTGGCCTCGGAGACCACACGTCGCACGAATGCCTGGCCACGCTGCTGCAACTCTCGTAGAAGGAAGTAACGAAGCTGGATGTGCTTCGCCTTCCCAACCAGTCGGGGCTCCTCGCACAACAGGATAGCAGACTGTTGTCGGCGAACAAGACTGGGGGAGAACGAGGCCACTCACCAAGGTCGGTGAGGACGAAAGACAGCTAGCGAAGCTTCTGGGCAGCATGGCCGCAGCGTACACCTCTGCCTCACAGCTGGAACTAGAGACGGACGACGCTCGAGTCGACCTCCACGAAACAGATCCGGTCCCAAGGCTGAAGTAGTAACCCTATGGAGACCGCAGCGACTCAGCGTCGTCGGCCCAAGGCGAGTACGAGAAACCTGTAAGCGTAACTGGCTGCTTCCCTCCAAGGACAAGTCCCATGCCTGATGTACTCGCCACATACTTCGCCACCCTCTTAGCAGCGTACCAGTGGGAAGGTCGGTGTCTCCCAGGCGCAACAAAGCACGCAAGGACGCTGAGAGGGTAAGCTAGGTCTGGATGAGTACAGGTCATCGGGTACATGAGACAACCCACCAGCTCAGGATATGGACCGCTGGGCTCAAATGGCTCGTCCGAAGGTGGAGCCGTGAGCCCATGATCCACAGCAAGAGGGGTGGGCTGTACCTTGGAGAACGGGAAGCAAAACCGCGTGAGGATCTGCTCGACCATATGCGACTGCGTCAGCGTAATGGTGCGAGCTGCCCTGTCCCTGGTGATCTGCAGGCCAAGGTAGCGCTGCAGCTCACCAAAGTCAGTGCAAGTGTGTCTCCTCTGCAGTTCCTCCTTCACAGAGGCCAATGCGCGTCGACCGGGAGTGGCGAAGACTAGGTCGTTAACGTAGACCAGAACAAAGAACGGGGTCGAGCCACGGCGGACGAAAAGCGACAGGTGCCGCTTGCAAGAAGTTAAGCGCTGCAAGAGTCGTACGTAGCGTGTCGTGCCACGCGGGGAGCCCGGCGCAGGCTGTAGACCGGTCGACGCAGCTGCCACTGGGTCCCGGGAGGGAAAGTGACAGTGAAGCCAGGCGGACAAGGCAGCCAGATCTGCTCGTGCAGGCTCCCTTTAAGGAACGCGGTGGAGAAGTCTAAGGAGTGCAACTTGTAGTCGCGCTGTGCTGCAATATCCAGCAACACCTGAAGAGTGGTCATCTTCGGGGTTGGAGCGAAGGTCTGAAAGAAGTCCACCCCCTCTCGCTGACTGAAGGCTCTCGCCACATAGCGCACCTTGAACACCGGTGGTGCTCCAGGCGGCAGCTTCACCTTGTAGAGGCACATGCCACTGACAACGTTCGTCCCAGGTGGTGGGACGGCGTCGACGTAGGTGCCTGTGGACCTAAAAAATGCCATCTCTGCCTCTTCAGCTGCTATCC